CAACCTGTCCTGGTAAAACTGAAAAGGCCTTCATTGCATCAGGAATCCTTCCTTCGCAAAAATATAAGTTATAAATCTAAATGACTAACTTAAGATAGTTACGGCTTAACGAATTAATCGAATTCCCTGAAAATTTTGTATTTTTTGAATCTAGAATCTGCGGTCTTACCATAAAATAAAAAAAAACTGTACCGTTTTATAAGACATAGTGTCAAATACATCGAGATGCAATACATTTTTTTCCTTTCTAGTAACACTGAAACACGAGATACCATTAACGCTGGAGTAATAACTGTCCGCTTTAAGATACGCTAACATTTCTCGGAGACATGTCTTTAGGCTCTAACGATAGCAGGAAATGTTTACCTCTCGTTAACAAGTGTAGTTGAAACATCAAAGGTATACATAGCGACGTAATGATTAGCGTCTATTTTCAATCAGGTTATCGTACTTTGTTCCAAAAACAAACACTATAAAACCGTTCATTTGTAGGCATTTTTCTTGCGTGTAATCATTCGCGTAAGACGACATTTGCTCCAAAGATTCCAAAAGCGATTTCGGAAATAAATCTGCGGCAGTGCAAATCAAATCAAAAAAATATTTAAGTATTTATTTTTTCTATAATTCAAAGTTACATTCATTACAGATCGTTGCGAATTTTAAAATCAGCTATAAACACAAGGCTTCCGTATTTGATATCCGTCTCCGGGATTTTGGATTTAAAATTTATTATTTTACCTTTTATAATAAATAAGGAATTGGTCCAGGAACGCAATTGCCCATTATATATATTTTATGAATTGCTTAAATGTGTGGACAGACTCAGCCCACTTGGTGTTAAGTGGTTACCATGGTGGCCCATAGACATCTACGACCAATACCGTCTTTACCAATAGGGGCCCGTGCCCAGGGCCGCCATTCTCAGGGGGCCCCGAAAGACCGACAATTTCTCTCACACGTTTATTCTCAAAACATTTTTGTCGGACACATTACACTTTTTTCACAAATCAGTAATCAGAAGGTATTTACAAGGCATATACTATGCCTATAATAGAAGATTTTGCTCAACAGAAATCCCGAAAGAAACCGCTATCGAAATCGTAACCAAAAAACCAGCAGCATTCTAATATCATTAATGACATTATATTCTATTTGATTACCTATAATAAATGGTCATACTCAGTAAAAAAATGTTATTATAATTCGCTTTTTTTACTTTCCAAAAGGGCCTCAAATTCTTTTTTTTTTTTTTTTTTGCTTAGATGAGTGGACGAGCTCACAGCCCACCTGGTGTTAAGTGGTTACTGGAGCCCATAGACATCTACAACGTAAATGCGCCACCCACCTTGAGATATAAGTTCTAAGGTCTCAATTATAGTTACAACGGCTGCCCCACCCTTCAAACCGAAACGCATTACTGCTTCACGGCAGAAATAGGCAGGGTGGTGGTACCTACCCGTGCGGACTCACAAGAGGTCCTACCACCAGTAATTACGCAAATTATAATTTTGCGGGTTTCATTTTTATTACACGATGTTATTCCTTCACCGTGGAAATCAATCGTGAACATTTGTTGAGTACGTATTTCATTAGAAAAATTGGTACCCGCCTGCGAGATTCGAACACCGGTGCATCGTTCAATACGAATGCACCGGACGCCTTATCCGTTAGGCCACGACGACTTGTGTGCCCTAGGGCCCCATCCTAGTTTAAGACGTCCCTGTCTACGAGGTAAATGCGCCACCCACCTTGAGATATTCGTTCTAAGGTCTCAGTATAGTTACAACGGCTGCCCTTCAAACCGAAACGCATTACTGCTTCACGGCAGAAATACGCAAGGTGGTGGTACCTTCCCGTGCGGACTCACAAGAGGTCCCACCACCAGTAGGTAATGACACAAATTATTGTTTTGTGGGTTTGATTTTCATTACACGATGTTATTCCTTCACCGTGGAAGTAAATCGTGAACATTTGTTAATAAGTACGTATTTCATTAGAAAAATTGGTAGGTACCCACCTGCGGGATTCGAACACCGGTGGATCGCTAGATACGAATGCACCGGACGTCTTATCCTCTAGGCCACGACGACTTAGATGTCTGGGTCTTCGCAGGAATAAGGTCGTTTTTTTTTAATTATTAGGTATTTTGGATATGAAAATTTAATGGAAGATAATTTAAAATAGTTTATTGTCGCGCTAAATATCATTTCGCCAGTGCTTTTCAAGCCTGCGGCTCTCCTTGGAACTAGACGTAGGTTTTAATTTTCCAATTGGCATGTGATATGGACATATAAGTTCGAAATTGAAATTATTTTGAATTTGAAATTTAATGATCCGTTTCCAATTTAGAGTGGCACGTAATCGAAATAAATCGAACTGAAACTGCCTCAGTTGTAGACGAAATCTCGATCGATTTAATAGTTAGTGTTACACAAATAGAGCCCTGCGTGCTCCCCGCGTGTAAACAAGGAGAAATGTCGAGCGAAATTACGCTTATGGGCACACTTGTTTATTCGATTAAAATTCTAAACGAAAGGTTAATTGAAAGATACGACTTAAGCAAACTATTTTTAAGTTACAAAGTTGAAATGTTTTGGATCACCGACCGATTTTCTATGTCTGAGACCGTATGCTTGTTTAGTTGTATGCTTGAGTTGTTCGTGTGCCCTGAAATAGTGTGGTTAAGTAATAAGCAGGATTAAATATTTTTTAATCAATGAGGTTAAATGATTTGAGTAAATTTTCAGACTTCACCTAGCATCGTTATCTTTTTATTGTCTATTAATTTCTGAACTTTGTAAAAGTTTAAGAGGATATCATTTCCAAGATTTGGAACAAATAATGTTTTGCGAGCTTAATACCTACGGGTTGATGTAAATAAAACCTTATATTGTGTTGTGTCTTGTCTTAGAGTACCCCGCTGGTACATAGGGCCCTCACAAGTTGTCTCCACTTGACCCAGTCTTGCGCTTGCTCCTTGACATCACTCCAGGTCTTAGGTCAGCATTCCCCATCTTGTTCTTCACGGTGTGTAGCCAAGTATGTACACGGCGACCAGGTTTTCGCCTGCCAAGCGTTGCCACTCAAACGCGATTGATGCTGCGTTGACTCCGCTGCGCCGTAGACTGTGTCCTATCCGACGCCATTTCTGATGGGCAATGTCTTGCGCGATGGGAGTTTGGTCACATTTAGTCCAGAGATATTTATTTGATATAAACTAAATATTTAAACCTTGTATTATAAAATAGAAAGACACCTTCTTTATATTTAATTAGATAGCTTGGTAGTGCAGTATTTAGAAACCCTTTCTGTTGTGCCGAGGGTTATATCCACATCGAGCAAACATTCGCGTGATGATCAGGTTTCTTTGCTCTTTATCTGGGTGTTTATTATCTAAATATATATATCATGTCAAATATGTCATTCTCTGGTTCTCATAGTACAGTTAATCGAAATGTAGCGCTGGATGACCAAGTGTGAATTGTTCCCGGCTACTTATGAATTTTTTTGAAGTATATTCTTAGTTTTATATCGACCTTTTTTTAAATAATGAACTCAATTGGTTCAATGTCATTCATCGTCCGTCGACGTCATCGATTGCATCAACGGCCCCTATCAAGGATCAATTACTTTGACACATATAATGCGCTTGAAGCGAAAATTGATTAACTTCCGTACAGAATAATGTTGTCTATAGTGTTTATATTATTATTGTTCTTAGAAAATACAAAATTTTGAAAGAACAGAAATCATTTGAGATAGGTTTTGTTATTTAAGAAACAGCATTATGAGTTTCTTTCAAATTTACTGTTCTAACAATAATTCCAGTTACTGACTACTGTTTCAACATTTAACATTTTTAGATTCTAAATTAAGCTCACAAGATAACACATGACTTATTTCAAAACGAGATAGTTTAAAAACAAGATTTTTATATAAACGAAATAACATATTATTGTACAAGAACTTTACTTAGTAGATTCTACACTCGGATTTTATAACCTCAAAAAACAGCTTCGTATAGTTGTCGAAAGTGCTATATCGTTTCGATATGGTAATTTATAAATTACCATCGACCCGACCGCCACCGGAGCAGAGTCCATCCATACTATTTAGAGCCTGCAAGTAGAGTTCATCCACAGTGCGTTTCCAGAGATCATTTTTGCCACATGCCATCCGGCTTTGGAATGGGCTTCGCCTGTACGGTGCTCCCCGAACGCTGTGGTATGTCATTCTTCAAACGAGGCTTGTGAAGAGTACTTAATGGTAGACAGCGGCTTGGTTCTGCCCCTGGCGTTATTGAAGGCCATGAGCGACATTAGGTGGTAGGACCACTTGTGAGTCCGCGCGGATAGGTACCACCGCCCTGCCTATTTCTGCCGTGAAGCAGTAATGCGTTCGGTTTGAAGAGTGGGGCAGCCGTTGTAACTATACTGAGACCTTAGAACTGTATCTCAAGGTGGGTGGCGCGTCTACGTTATAGATGTCTATGGGCTCCAGTAACCACTTAACACCAGGTGGGCTGTGAGCTCGTCCACTCATCTGAGCAATAAAAGCCACTCACCATCAGATGGGCTGTATGGCTCGTATGCCTACAAGTACAATAAAAAAAATTATAAATCGTTTTAAATATACATAGTACTTGCTCGTATTAGAATGTCCGTTTGTAAGCTTGGCCAATTAATTTATAAGCGTAAAATCGTAGTAAGAGTCCACAAATCACTGTATTGGCCACTATTAATCTTTCAACCCTCGTTTTGGGAATTTGGCAGTTTATTTAAAGAGTTGACCCCAACCAATAAAAGTTCAATCTTGTTAAAAGCAGTACGCGATTGATGCCTTGGTTGGATACCGTTAAATTGCTCTAGTATCGGACGGTCAGGGTCTAGCATGGTGCCCTAATTGAATTCAATACATGGAATGAAATTCTTCGTTCATTGAAGCGTTGATCAAATTATCACATTTGAATAATAGTTATAATTAGCTTTGTTTTGTTCTAGGTGGAATATCAAAATGGCTTGTATGAAAAAAAGCAGTTGTCGACGAACGAAGCAGAAAATAGTGTCCAAGAAATAATATAAAAAAGAAACTTCACAGAATTTAACTTTAATTATTTAACTGTTTAACGAATATATACATTCACAATGAATTTTAAACTGCTACCATTTCTATTAACCTGGAACCTTATAATGGTAGCAGCTAAACGAGATTCCTTTGAAACTCAAGATTCGACAAGATCTAGAGAGCTGAGGAACAAAGAGAACAATCGTAATCGAACTACCTTCAACGGAACATTAACAGATCTGCCCGACAGAAGAAACTTAAGGCACAGGAATAGCTCCAGATACCGAGGCGACAGACGACGTGCTTGGGAACATGAAATAAGGCGTGATCGACGCAAGGGCTCTGACAGATCCGAAAACGCCGATAACCGAACATTCGAACCGTACAACACTAGAAAAGAAGAAAAAGCACGTAGAACCGAAAAAAACTGGAATAAGAGCACCGAGAAATACCCTGCACGTAAACTGTTTAACCAAAGCAAGGCCCAAGACCGGTTCCACCATACACCGGTTAGGGAGAACACGACGCGATCTAGATCCAAGACGCCTTATAAGTGGCAGAGCGGTGGCTACATACCGTACCCACAGCAAAGGGAGAGGAAACCTAACATCATTTTGATTCTCACTGACGATCAGGACGTCGAACTTGGTAGTTTGAATTTCATGCCGCGGACTATGAAGGCGATACGGAGCGCCGGAGCGGAGTTCCGTCACGCTTACACGACCACACCGATGTGCTGTCCGTCAAGGTATGTTTAAGTTTTACAACTAATCCTTAAAATAAATCGACGTTTGAAATTGTTTCAACAAAACCTTTTCAATGTTTTTAATACGCTTTTATTAGCTTCAGAAGTATGTAACGGAATCTTTGAACATGATTTTGACCCCCTTCAAAACGTCGGATTAACTCGAAATTTGGTATAGGTACTTATTAAGGACCGATGACAATTCAATATTTAAAAAAGGCATTTTTTGTAGCTTGTTCTTTAATATAATAATAAATAATAGTTTAAAAAACTAACGATATACGCTTTTCTAGAACATCCAACAAAAAAATTGAAAATAAATTTTAATAAATTTAAATTAAAAATAGTGTAAAAAAAAATGATTTTATTGTAAAAAAAGCTTGGGGTTCATGGTATCAGTAGTTATAAATATTTTATGAACAGATATGAGTAGAAGGGTTAGTTTGATAATATCCTAAAATGCACCCCACATTTTTTAACAATAAAATCTATTTTAAGCCATTGCATAGATTTTGTAGCGGGCTTTGAGCGCGGCTTGAGAGCGGAATCATGAAATTCCGTAACGAAAAAAACCTTCCACCCCTCACTACGCCTACTATGTAGCTCGCGTTCAACACATTTACACGTTGCGCTTGTGTAGTGTTTAAAGTAAGAAGTCTAAACACCGATTTATGTACTATCAAAATATGTGATATAATTTCGTGGGTAACACAACGATAGCGCGATTCAGCTTTTGCGTCAAGCGCCATCTATCGGCGACAAACGGAATTGTAAAATAGAAAATTATATCACATTACAATGCGTTGGGCGTGCCATTTTCTATCGCTTAGTCGAAGAATTTTATTACTACTCCTACTATTCAGTGATTGGAGTGGCATTAAAAATAAACTAGCTAAACCATTGATTCTGGGCGATTGAGAGTTAGAACTAGCATCCAAAAGCGTGTCTCTATCCCACGTAGCGCCCTCTAGTAAACGCGCGGTCAAAATGGAATACTCACAATGTAGCAGATTCATTGAAAGTTAGCCCACTGAGTTTCTCGCCGGATCTTATTTTATTGTTATTTTAATATTAAATTATTATTGTCGATTTATAATTGTATAAGTTGATAAAAAATGCTATGCAATAGCTTTACCGCGGCAGTCTCCGAGTGCCACACGTCTTTTTTTTTTTAAACTATTTTTAATTCAAATTCATTAAAATTTATTTTCTATCATTTAGTTAGATTTTCTATAAAAGTGTATTTTGTTAGTTTTTTTAAACTATTATTTATTATTATATTAAAGAAAAAGCTGCAAAAATTGCCTTTTTAAAAGTAAAGATCAAGGAATTTCTTAAATTAATCGTTGTCGGACAACTCTGTTCGCGTAGAGACCCAAGAAGTTACAATGGTGCAACGGTTGTTCTATCATTCAAATCGGAACGCACTTATTCGCAACATAAATAGGACGGTATAATATAGCACTGTAACACGCCCTACTAATCTGAGAGCTAACAATAATCAATAAAATATCCGGGACAAATTATACATCAGATAATCGGCTCGGCAAACGATGACTTCACTTGCATACATACTTATATACATTAAAGTATATTAAACATCAAGTTATAGAGTACCATCATCACACCAATATTTGCTCGAATTTTAATCAAACCAACGTTCCTCTAGCAGTCGGGGGCCCTAGTTATTATCATCATCATTATCATCATCAGTCTACACTCGTCCACTGCTGGACATAAGCCTCTCCCAATCCACACCATTGAGCCTGGTCTTCGGCTCTTCTCACCCACTTCTTGCGGGTTGCAAGCAAGTTGGAGCAACTGACGTCATATATCCGCATCTTATGATCAATAACTCACAATACGGCTAAGATTATTTTAATCTATGATTGTTTCTTATCAGTGTCAAGCGAATTGTTTGTTTTTTGTTTCAGGAGCTCTTTACTGACGGGAGTTTACGTTCACAACCACAATGTTTACACCAACAACGATAATTGCTCCTCGCCTATGTGGCAAGCGACGCACGAGTCCAACACCTTTGCCACATATCTTTCTAACGCCGGCTATCGTACAGGTAAGAAGAAAAGCGTAAGACTTCGAATTTAACTTTTTATCTTTCACTATTAATGCCACTACATTTAATAAATGTATGTTTAAAATTCGAATATAATTTAATGATATCCTAACGTTACCTTGTGCACGTGTTTTTTAACTAGTTTCTTTTTTATAATCGATTGGCGCATGGCAACCTGTACTACAGGTTAAATGATATCTCAGACACCAATTATTCACAGTACTCTTATTAAATTACTACAGTATTTAGTGCTTAAGATTAATACAGTTATTTGAGAAGGAAAATAAGAATAAATATTATTATAATAACCTTAACAACCTCGATTTCAAGGGGAGAGATTAATGCAGTAATGTCAGTGGAGCCTTCATCTTATCTCCTAACGTTAACCTTAGTCAAAAGTGTCAAGATTTACCTGTCTTTACTCAAGTCCTTGCACACTAATTTCCAGTAATCAAATTTTGCACACCAAAGTATTCAATTTAATTTCAGTTAAATTCAACCATATTTCGCTTTCATGTTGGCTTTTGAAAGTGTAAGACAGTATGTTTTACGTACTCCCAGAAGGTCATTTGGACTGGTTTAAGCAGTCATAACAAACTACTAACATATGGCATACATGTAATAATTTTCAACATGATTCTACTAGATGTTTATTGCTTATACGACTGTTTTTAGTGTTGATAAATTTTCTTGTGATTTATAACTCTGAATAAACTTTACTGCCTTCGGAGTGGTTAAAAGTATAATATTATAATTAGCTAAAATAAACATAAGATCAATAAAACGATAGTTTTGATTTGAATATTATTTTAGAATATGAATATTCTATATCTATTCCGTTTGACATTTAAAATTGTCCAGTTAAATCTACACAGTGACATACAATTTAAATAATTAAAATCTAATCATGCTATCTAATCTATGCATCACATCAGATAAACGATACAAACTTAAAATTTAGTTTTGAAAAGACATGTTAGTTAATTAGTTTTGTCAAAACAAATCGGGTTAGCTTTCGATGTTTTGTTAAATTAGTAGAGTAGAGAAGTAGAGACATTCCACTGTTAGATTAGATTAGAGAAAGACCAATATTTCTTATGTTAATCTTAATTTTGTTATCAATATATAAAATTTTAAATTTCAGAAATCATTATTACACACAAATAAATAAAATAAAGAAAGCACAGCGGAAAATATGTTCTCTTATTAGACTTTTTCGTGTTGGCTATTTTCTGTTGTTACGTGTTTATAATGTTTAACGACCACCAGAACTCATTAACAAACTATGATTTACTTGACCGTGTCCATATATTTTTATGTTGCAATTAATCGATAGTGCATATTCATTTTATGTTGATTATCTTAATCTTAACAGTCCTAGCATCTTATTATGAATATTCTATAATATGAATCCGCAACAGGCTCGCTGAAGTTGTTATAAAATTAGTAACACTAGATGTGTGTTAGTAATATAATAACCAAACACCTGAGAATGCACTTTACTGAGCTCTCATTACGAATGCTTTGTAATTTTTTTTTTATTACCCTAGAAGGCAGACGAGCGTACGGTCCACCTGATGGTGAGTGGTTACCGTCGGCCATGGACTTCAGCAATGCCAGAGGCATAGCCAAGCCGCTGCCTATAAATATCTATGAAACCCGTTTTTTTTCCTACCTATGCTCATAGCCTTGAGAGGCTATCCCAGCTTCTCCTTGACTCATAGGTGAGCTCACGGTGCTCAGACCGGGAGTGTTGCTAACACTGGCCCTAGCAAGAGCAGTGCTTCGCAGAATCTCCTACCGGATCGGAAACGCGACCCTTTGAGAAGATCCGGCGAGAAACTCTGTGGGCTAAAACCTATTCGAGTATAGTCGTAGAGTATGAAGGCAGGGAATGTGAGTCTTCCTTATAATGGATATTGTGTAAAATGATTATGATCGGTCGTTGATTTCAGCAATGCCAGCCAAGCCACTGTATTTTGCTATCTATACAGCCATAAATATTTTTTATACCACGTTTAAATTAGAATATGTCATAGCGTACAAATGATATCTAGTATGAACGTAACGTTGTCAGGTGTTAAGGATGAATTTTATTACGCTTAACGCTGGTGGTCTAATAGCGAAAAGAAGACTACGGGATCTTTAAAAAAAAATTAGATTGCGAGAAGTGTCTTTGTAAATCGTATATCGATAGAAACATTAATCGGGTTTGGGGTCAAATACGAAATATACGAATGTGTACGGTAAGTGTATACGTAAACAAGCGCTATCTGCCTCTAAATAAAGCAAAGTTTAAATTGAATTGCTGTAATTTTTTTAAATTTTCAAGACATAGAATTTGAAAATGGATTTTTATTAGTTATCTCAATTTTCACAAAATTTAGTACAGTCATTACGTCATCTACGTATAAGTTGAGTGTTTTTTTTATCATCGTACATACCTAACGCGCTGATGTTTATTAAGACAAAAGACAGCTCGTATGAAGACGTATGTAATACCTGAGAGCAGCGAGAGCATTGAACGCTTATCCTCCCGCTGTAATGACGCAATAAGGTTAGGAATGCCGTCTCCCTGACTCACACTTTCATAACACCTGACCGTTTTACGGCAACATCAAAAAGTAAATGAACTGAAAATGAAATTTCAATGAAGCGAACAGAATTAAAAGCTATTGTACATAGCTATACATGTAACTATAGTTGAGACCTTAGAACTTATATCTCAAGATGGGTGGCGCATTTACGTTGTGGCTGTCTATGGGCTCCAGTAACCACTTAACACCAGGTGGGCTGTGAGCTCGTCCACCCATCTACGCAAAAAAAAAACCTTTATTTCGACGTCTAACAATAAGCTATATCCTATCGCCTGCAAATTAAAAAAAGGCTAATGTTTATTTATTTGTAGAAAGTAGATAATCATCATAAAATTTTAGATTCGAGTTCATAAAGTTATCGGATGTAGATTGTCGTTACAGTAAAAGTTTGATTTCCGAACAAATTTCTTGATTAATTAATGATTTGTAGTAATAAAACTCAATCGAAATTCTGTTTTAAAACAGTCAGAGATGTAACAAATGCGTCTTTGAGCGTCGAACGCGGCGTATTTAATTTTATGCTGATAATTGCAGTTTCACGATATCTATAAAATAATAAATTTACTTACGAAACGAAACGTACCGCTTTCTTTAACGATAAATTAATGAACGTGATATAGTTAGAGGCATTTTTATGTTCAAATAAAAATGGATGGGACGTGTTCATATGTGATATTTGAAATTCTTTACCGTGATAGAAATAAAAATTGGATACAAAATCGTTACATTGGATAATTATATAATGTGTTATATTTTTCAAGTTGTATCCACCTATTTCCGGCCTTAATTTATTTAAGCTGATATTAAGATCGAAATTTTAAGCGAAACTTCTTTGGTTAGAAATCCGGGTGGCTTACGGCAAAGGCACTGTTCACATAAGGCGAACAATGGCAAAGAATTTAAAGTTCTGAATTCCTTGCAATGCATAGTTAGACATAAATTCCTTTCGTATTAGATATGCTGATGTTATTCACGTTTACTTGCTCGGTCCATGCAGTCCTTGTTTGCGAGTTGTTGTAAACTAGCCTCAAGCTATGAGACTGGTTGTAACTGGTAACGTCTATACTGCATTGAATTAAATACAAGCTGAGGGTGAAATATTAGTGCAGGCGCGTTTTCATTGAAACTTTATAAATGTGTCTTTGAAAAATTTATTTCTTATTTTACTGCTCTATAAAAGAGAAAGGTAGCTGTGGCGTGCTTAAGACGCGAGAGGATTTTAAGATGCGATTGGTGCACATTTAGAATTGATAATGCCTTCTGATACATTCGTTTCACGAGCAAAATGTAATTATAAGGGCCGCTATTTGGTTTAAGATATAGCTTTTATGTAATGGTTACTTTATCCTATAACCTTACCCTTACCTCCTTAAACCGGAACACATGATTACGTCGATGTCGAAATAGGCAATAGGGAGGTTATTAGTTGCCAGAAGCGGCGAATCTGTTGAATTATTCATAAACTAAATATTATCATTTAGTTTTTATCGCCTAAACACGTTAGCAATATTTTCACACGAGAACAAAGACATAAAGTAAAATTATGTCAATTTTTCCCGACGCTAAAACGCAGCGGTGGCCCGATCCTTGGCCGTAAATCTTTGTCGCTGTTATCACTGGCTAGATTGCTTTTACGGTCGTAAATCAATACGGGGACGTTGCGGTCGACAGATAAACTGCAACATGCAGCGTCTTCTGATTTGCTCTAAATATTCGTGTAATCATAGCGGAGGCGTAGTGCGCACGTGGGTCGCCGGACGCGGGCTATTTGGCCACTCTTCGTCGTTATGTACGAATAAATGTAGATGGAAGTGTCCTTGTCGGTATTTGGGGAGACCGATCGTCCGATCTATTCCATCCGGCGGAGATACAAGCGAGCGATGCAACGCGTCACTTTGGGCCGAGTTTGTTAGTTTTTTACTTTGATCTGTCAAATCGTTGAAAGATGTGCGTTAGTTGCTGTTAGTAAATTTTGTGTAGGATCGAGTTTATTTTAGGGCTAGACCAGAAAATCTTACAGGATTCCCACTATTTCTACTACTATCAGAACTTATTTTCCTACTTATCATTCTCTGAAATTAATTTTTTGTTGGGGCTTATTATTATTCCGCAGTGGTATATGTATATTCACTTTTTGCATACTTCTGTGACGAAGCAATTTTGCGATTCCAATTCGAAATCAGGCCAGATCAAACGGATGTATCTTTGCTGCGTTTTGATAGACTTCAAGACATTGTAAAATGTGTCGGGTTCTTTATACTTAGGTACATCGGTTCTAAGAAAGTGCACGGCATTTGAATAAGCACTTCTTGTAACACAGAGCACGTGTTAGCAATTTATCACCCAGCTATTAAGAGAACATTTGGCTGGTAGATTTATGCTTCAAACGAGGTATAATAAAGT